GTGCTCTGCAGTGTCCATTCGGGTGGATTCGTGGTCCTCGCAGTGTCCGGCTTCTTGCCGCTGGCTGTGACCCACTTGCACGCTGGAGGAAACTCGTGTGTCGGGGCGGGGCCCCGGGCCGGGGACGCAAGGCGCACGGCAGGGGCGTGCCCCGGGCCGCGGCGACACGGCGCTCGGTGGCGTCCTGGGCGGGGAGAGCGGAGGAGGAGGAGGAGGAGGAGGAGGAGGATCGGGCCGGACGAAAGGGGGGGATTGGGAAAGGGGGACTACGAAATTTGCTGCGTGCAGCTGGTTTCGGCCCCACCGAGGGGCCCATTCCTCGATACATGGCCGCCTCCAGCGCCGGGAGGCGACCTGATTCTCAAAACCCCCCTTTGCTATCCCCCCCTGTCGCCCGACCCGGGAGGAGGAGGAGGAGGAGGAGGAGGAGGAGGAGGAGGAGGAGGAGGAGGAGGAGGAGGAGGAGGAGGAGGAGGGGGAGGAGGAGGGGGAGGGGAGGACAAGCTAGGTGCGCTCGCGTCATATCTGACGTCCTACCCCTCCTCCCATCCCTTACCATGGCGCTGATTTTCTCTATCCGCGGACGCGTGTCGTAGCGGACCTGTGGCTCCGCGCGCGCGTGCGTAGTGGGTGGTGGTGCACGTGCGTGCGTGCGTGCGTGTGTGCGTGGTTGTCGTGGTGGTGGTGGTTGTGGTGGTAGTGGTAGTGGTGGTGGTGGTGGTGGTGGTGGTGGTGTGGTGGTGGTGGTGCTGGTGCTGGTGCTGGTGCTGGTGTGGTGGTGGTGGGTGGTGTGGTGGTGGTGCTGGTGGTGGTGGTGTTGGTACTGGTGCTGGTGCTGGTGGTGGTGGTGGTGGTGGTGGTGGTGGTGGTGGTGGCGGTGCGGCGCGGTGGTGGCGGGCGGATGGGCGCGCGAGAAAAAGGCCCGCGCTGGGGCGAGAACGCCATCCTGAACGACGGAGGCCAAACACCGATCCGAAAATGAGGCCCACGCTGCAGCGGGAGCACGATTCGGAACGATTCGGGAGCAGAAATGAGGCCGGCGCCTCAACGAGAGCAGCATTTTGGGAAAAAATGACGCCGGCGCCTCAGCGAGAGTCGTTTCCCAGGATTTCCCGGGCATCCTGTGTGTAAAAAACAGTACGCGGAGAGTGCGCGGCCATCACCTGGACGCCATCAGGGGAAGAGGGGGAGTATTTTCATATTGAGTAATTGTGGAGGAGGAGGAGGAGGAGGAGGAGGAGGAGGAGGAGGAGGAGGAGGAGGAGGAGGAGGAGGATCCGAGGCGCCGAGCGCGCGAAGATCGTGTGTCAGGGCGGGGCCCGCGCCCATCGCGACTCGGCCTTGCAGACTGCGCCTGCGGACCGACCCTTTCTCGATCGACTCGGTCGCGCGTGCTGAGGCTGATGCCTGCGGTGGAGGGCGCTGGTCGAGGAAAGGTGCCCGGGACGCTTCAGACCCTGCGGTGCTCTCCGTGGCCAACCCACGACCCTGTATTCCTCATCCGACGGTTTTTTGTCTAGTGCCTTTACCGCACTCCTCGAGGATATCAAAGGCATGGCACCGACATGAAGTTTCGGAGGCATGAGCGCGCATCTCTGGGGTCGGTGCTCGGCCCCCTTTGTGTGTTGCGCAGGTTCATATCTTGTTGTATGTCTAGCAGTTCCTATGCATGTCTGCGTGTTTACAGGAGGCCATGGCCTCACCCACCTGGTCTTGGAAGGCCCCGACAGCCGTCCGATGTGGTGGTTCGTTCGTTTGCTCCCCCCTTTTACCGCGTCTCTGGCCCCCTCTGCGCGCCAGGGGCAGGGGGGCTTCGACCGGTGCCGATTGCAGAAACCCTCGCGGGCCTGGGCGCCGCAGCCGTCCGCGGGCACGCCTCCTCTGCCGAAGCTCTGCGGGCGTCCCCGAGGTTCCGTCGCCCGCTTCCACGGGAGCTCTTTCAGTTCCTCCTCCTCCTCCTCCTCCTCTTCTCCTTTGCGTTCTCCTTGGCCTCCTCCATTTCCCTTTCTCCCCCTGTGCCTCTTTCCCCTCCCTCTTCTCCCTCCCTCCTCCTTCTCCGCCTGCTCGTCCTCCTCCCTGCGGCCACGACGACGGTGAAGACAACGATCCTGACCCTGCTGGTGGAACTTGTTCATTCCGCGGCCCCAGAGGTCCCGACCGCTTCCCCCAGGATAGTTTTCCGTCATGGGGCCCGATAGCGGGTGCCAGAGGCCGAAATGAAGTGAAAACGCCGCGATTGAAAATTACCCTGGCGACGTACCCAACCCCTGCGCAATGCGGGGCATGAGTAGCTTGGGAGACGTTACGCGGAGGTGATGACGTGACATGGGCGTATATTCTTCTGCGAGCGGCATTCGTGAGGCTCGCAGCCCCCCAAGGACGGCGAGGTCCCGCTCAGATTTGCGTGGCAGCCTTCGAAGGTAGCGACGGTTTCGCATACATCCCCGTTACGAAAGTTAATTCATCTTGGCTGAAATTGAGATGTGTGGGCGCTGTGGTGAGAAGTGGTATGGGAGTGATTCTTCCTTGTGGGTCCATACGGGGAGAGATTCCGAGTTGCCTGGAAGTGACCGGGAGTGATTTCTCTCTTGTGAATTTACGGGGGAGGGATTTTATCTTGAATTGGTTATACATATATATATATAAATGTTACCAGGGAGAACCCTGGAAATCTCTCCCGCCGAGCCAGGCCGAAGACTGCCGTGCTAGGAGTCTACGGGGGGAAGGGGGCCACTCGGGGACGCCTTGGTCGTCAGTGCTCAAGGTGAATAACTTTCGTAACGGGTAAACGGTATCTTACATTGCACTTCTACAAGGGTGAGACCAGCGCTACCCCTTGACAACAGCGCCTTTGGCCGCCACAACGCGCTTGCACGTGCCCCGCAGACCCTTGGTGTCATGCGAGACCGCAAGCACGCAGATGGCGACGTGTCTGTCGAGCGCGATGCTCGGCCCCGCTCGGATTTCGAATTGGGGTTCCTCATGACATTGGCTGACATTGACGTGTGAAAAAGTCGTACATTGCACTTCTACAAGGGTGAGGCCAGCGCTACCCCTTGACAACGGCGCCTTTGGCCGCCACAACGCGCTTGCACGTGCCCCGCAGACCCTTGGTGTCATGCGAGACCGCAAGCACGCAGATGGCGACGTGTCTGTCAAACGCGATGCTGGGCCCCGTTCGGATTTCGAATTTGGGTTCCTCATGACATTGGCTGACCTTGACGTGTGAAAAAGTCGTGGGTCCTCATCCCCGTTACGAAAGTGAATTAATTCATCTTGGCTGAAATTGACAGTTGTGGGCGCTGTGATGAGAAGTGGTATGGGGGAGATTCTTCCTTGTGGTTTCAAACGGGGAGAGATTCAGAGTTGCCTGGAAGTGACCGGGAGTGATTACTCTCTTGTGAATTTACGGGGGAGAGATTTCATCCTGAATTGGTTATATATTATAAATGTTACCAGGGAGAACCCCGGAAATCTCTCCCGCCGAGCCAGGCCGAAAACTGCCGCGCTAGGGGTCTACGGGGGGAAGGGGGGGCCACTCGGAGACGCCCTAGTCGTCAGTGCTCAAGATGAATAACTTTCGTAACGGGTAAGTATTGCAGCCCCCCATGGACGGCGAGGTACCGCTCAGATCTGCGCGTTGCCCCATTCCGCTGGACCCGCCAGCAGCCCTTGAAAGTGGCGACGGTTTCGCAGATCGCAGCCCCCCAGGGACGGCGAGGTCTCGCTCAGAGCTGCGCGGTGCTTAAATCCGCTGGACCCACCAGCAGCCTTCGAAAGTGGTGACAGTTTCGCAGATCGCTATGCTGGCCCCCCAAACAGCCCTCGAAAGTGGCGACAGTTGCGCAATTCGCAGCTCCCCAGGGATGACGAGGTCTAATTTGGGCATGCGGCGGCTACCCACTACAGCTGGCCCCCCAAGCAGCCTTAGAAAGTGGCGACGGTTTTGCAAATCGCAGCCCCCCCCCCCAGGGATGGCGAGGTATACTGATGGTCTGCGGCGGCTACCTATCATGCTGGCCCCCCAAGCGGCCCCCGAAAGTGGCGACGGTTCCGCAAATCGCAGCCCCCCAGGGATGGCGAGGTCTACTTTGGGTCTGCGGTGGGTGCCCACAATGTTGCCCCCCCAACCCCCAGGGATGGCGAGGTCTAATTTGGATCTGCGGCGGCTACCACCTACTACGCTGCCCCCCCAAGCAGCACTCGAAAGTGGCGACGGTTTCGCAGATCGCAGCCCCCCAGGGATGGCGAAGTCTAATTTGGGCCTGCGGCGGCTACACCCCGAGCAGCCCTAGAAAGTGGCGACAGCTTCGCAAATCGCAGCCCCCCAGCGATGGCGAGGTCTAACTTGGGCCCGCGGCGGCTACCCACTATGCTGTTCCCCCCCTCAGCTGCCCTCGAACGCGGCGACGGTTTCGCACATCGCAGCCCCCAAGGTAAGATGCATACACAAGAGGTACCGCAGACAAGATGCACACACAAGAGGTACGCACAAGGCAAGAGGAGGTAAGAGGGAGGCGGGAGTTGGAGAAGAAGGATACGCGACCGCAGTGCTCTATTCAAAACGAATACCCAACCAAGGAGGGGTCAAAACGAATACCCAACCAAGGAGGGTCCAACCAACTTGGGCAAAACATATCGTCGGAGATCTGGGGACGACGATTACGCCGACGGTAGCGCCTGCACCGACGACGCAGACGACCACAACCACGACGACGACGACGACAACGCTGCCGACGACGCAGACGACCACAACGACGACGACGACGACGATTGCGACGGCGAATGCGACGGCCACGATGGCGACGACCGACGTTCACGAGGTTCACGACGTTGACGACGACGACGACGACGATTGCGGCCGCGGGTGCGGCGGCGCCGACGACGACGGCCCCGACGACGACGACGGCGACGACGACGACGACGCCACCGCCGACGCCGACTCTGACGCCGACGCTGACGACGATGACTCCGACGGCGACGGTGCGCGTCGACGGCAGGAGCTCGCCTGTGGGTGCCCGCCACTGGCCGCGCGCCCGGGGGCCGTGGCGTCGTCGTCGCGGCCGCTCTCGGCGTCGATCGGCCGGTCGGGCGGCCGGTCGGCGTTGATCGATCGGTCGTCGTCCCGACGTGGCGAGGCCGACTGTTCGAAGTTTCAGGTCTTCGGACGTTCGAGCTTCGAGGTTCTGTGGCGTTGGCGTGGGTTCCTGGATGCTGCTTTCCAGCAGCTGCGCCTCGCCGGCAGCACTGCGGGTGCCCACACTTTCCCCGAACGACCGCCTGAGGCCGAGCCGGAGCACCACCTGCCGATAAAACGGGCGCCACTGCCCAGGCCATGCGTACTTGCTTCGGGTGGCGCTTGTCGGTTGAAGAGCGCCACTTCCGCTTGCTAGGCCGCGCTCCAACCTCGCGATCTTCGAACGCTGGCTGGCACGAGTCTTGGGCACACGCGAGATGGCCCATTACAGGGGAGGAGGAGGTTGGAGACTGGAGATTACGTAGAGGAAGGTCGAACCCCCTCTCTCGGCACACCGGCCGCTGCGCCGCCGACGGGAGGGTCGTCCACTCCAGTCAGCGGCAGGTGGGCGGAGGCCCGCCACCACGGGTCCCAAGGGGCCGAAAACCAGGAGACCCGAGGGGGAAAGCCCGACCCCCAGGACGGCCCCAGGACCACCGCAGACTGAAGCAGACCCACCCCCCGCACGCGGCCACCTCACGAGTCCTTGACCTCGAACTGCAACCTCAACCCTTCCTGTCCCGAGCCCACTCCAGGAACTCATGAAGGGTCGCCTGGCTCGACTCCGAGCCCTGGAAGTCCAGAAAGAAGGCCTCGAGGCTGCCGACCTCCGTCTCGAAATCGCTGCCGACCTCTGTGTCCACCGACCCACCAGCAGGGAAGTCCGAGAACTTTCCGGAAAACCCTGGACATGCCGGAGGGTGTCCCGACCCAGGCCCAGCAGGCTTCTCCTTCAGCTCGACCTCGGGCGGCAGACCCAAGCCAGGCACATCGATCATCTCGAGCTCCTGCTCGTGCGGCTGCGCCTGCGGCACGTCCCCGAACTTCTCGACTGCCCCGGCCTGCACGACGAGGGACTCGTTGCAACCGCCCGAGCCCGTGTCGATGTCGAGGGACGGGAACCGCGGCACCTGCTGGAGCTCCTCCCCATTGGCTCCCTCCATCTCGAACTCGTCGACCCGGAGCTGCGGGATCGGCATCACGACCTGCTCAGAAGCTCCACATCCATCCTTCTCTCGTGCACGCCCGCGGAAGCCACCTCTTGGCCTGCAGGCAGCCCAGGCCCCCGGCACGGCCAGACCACCCAGGGAACTCCACGGGATTCGGCCCATGGCCCTTCTCCGTGTGCTGCGTGTCGTTGCCCTCCAGCACGCTGGAGGAGTTGCTAACCTTTACAGCGTGCTCAACGCGCTCTTCGAACAGCTCCTCCGACTTGACGACGAGGCTGTCGAGGCTGGCGTTGCTCTCAGTGCCATCCTCCACCTCCGCGTAGATGCATCCTCCGCATGTGTATGCCTCCTCCCTCAGGTCCTCCTGCTTACTCTCCTCATCGTACTTGTTATGGGTGTCGTCCATGCCGAACCCGAGGCTGTCGACCCCTTCCTCGGGGCCATCGCCGTCGCCGCCCTTGCTGCCGCTGATGACGCCAACCACCGTGTCGGAGCCCAGCCACCATACGGAGTGACGTACTTCGCGAGCCCGCACATCCTTCTCGAATGCCTCCTGATTCAGCTTGAAGACGGCGCTGAAGGAGTTCTCTGGGACCTCGTCACGGTGCCAGCAAGCCCAGCCGTCTGCTGAGTCCACGCCGCCCATCGTGTCGTCTAGGTCCCCGTGCCCGTCGTCACTGAAGATGCCGAAGAGCTCCTCAGCCTTCAGTCCGCCAGCCGCAGAGGGCTGGAGCGGGACCGGCTCCTCCCCTTCCGGTACTCCCGCACCTCCCTCTTGGCCTTCTTGGACTCCCGCCTCGACTTGTCCTTCTTCTCCTTCTCCTCCTTCTTGCTCTTCTCCTGCGGCACGGCGTGGATGACGGAGTTCGCGCCGATCCATTGCGTCGGCATCTCCATCTGCTCCGTGTCCGCCCCCTGCTTCTCCTGGTACTCCTCCTGGTCTGGCCTCGGGGATGCCACCGGAGTCCACTGCCCAGGCGGTGGAGAAGGTGGCGCCGCCGGCTCCATCACGCCGTCCTCGACGGCCATGGCCAGAAACGGCGCGCATGACGGCCTCGGCCTCGACTGAGCGGGAGCTGGCTGCACTGCCGCCACAGCCGCCGCCACCGCCGCTGAGACCGCCGCCGAAGTGGCCGCCTCCACGATATCCCACACTGACTGGCTGGGCTCCGCCGCACTCGACGACCAGCTCGATGCAGGCGATGCCCGCCAGGGCGCGGCCGCATGCCAGACGCGCCATGGCATGCCCGGCTCGGGGCAGCTGCGCCCCTGTGAATTGCGTTGCCCTCAAAGGCCCCCCATGGGCCTCAAAGGGGCTCAGGGGAGGAGGAGGAGGAGGAGGAGGAGGAGGAGGAGGAGGAGGAGGAGGAGGAGGAGGAGGAGGAGGAGGGGGTGTAGGAGGAGGATGAGGAGAAGGGTGACGAGGGAGGAGGGTTGAGGAGGGAGGGGTGCAGGAGTTCTTGTGAGTCAGGGGGCTCTCTGGAGTAGAGGTTCGACGAGTTTTCCCGTCTGTGCCGCTTTCAATGTCCACGTCGTTGGTAGTGGTTGGGCCCTGCTGTGCTTGCTGCGACTCTTGCGTCCTGTATCAGCGAACATCAGCTGTCGAAGTTTTTGGGCGACTTTGGGGAGGAAGGTGTGTGGAGGAAGCGAGGCGTGGAAGGTGTTGGGCCACCCAAGGTCCTGCCCCCCAGGAGGTCCCCAAAGGTTCCTGGGAGGCCTCCAGTGCGCGGGTGTCCAAAAGGTGCCCATGGGTGGGATGTCCGAAGAAGGACCCGCCGGACCCCCCCTGGACCCTCCGGCAACCTTCGAGCCCTCCCAGAACTTCTAGAACCCTTCAAATCACTCTTCCATTCTCCTGCTCCTCCTTTCCCATCCCTCTTCTTTGACAGTAGCTCCTTCTCGTTTCACCACGGGACGTGCCAGAAGGCGGTCCAGGCGGTTCGCCTGAGGGCGTCGGATTCTCCCAATCCAATATTTTAGGAATTGTGTCACAGCCATTCTCGCGGGTGGACGGCGGATCCTTTTCAAGATGTTGCTCTCGCTTCAGGGTCGTTCACATTTGTTCCCAACCATCCTGTGGCGTCGTGTTCTCGGTTTGAAGATACAGTGCCCCGCGTCACTCTCTCCTTTCTCCTCCCGCTGCCCCCATCCCCCTCCCTCATCTCACCCGTGCCTCTGCCCTCCGCTCTCATCCTCCTTCCTCCCATCATCGTAAGCAGTAGCAAGCAGCAGCTTCATCATCATCACCATATTCCTCAGTTCCACCACCACCACCACCACCACCATCATCATCATCATCATCATCATCATCATCATCATCATCATCATCATCATCATCATCATCATCATCACCGTCATCATCATTATCATCATCAGCACCATCATCATCGTCGTCGTCATCATCATCATCTTCATCATCGTCATCTTCATCGTCATCGTCATCATCATCCCAGTGCTACCGCCCGCATGCGTTCGCCACACCCATTTCGGCACACCCCTCACCCATTACGTGGCCTCATGGGGAGCTTCACCGAAGGTCCCAGTGCTACCGCCCGCATGCGCACCCACCACCCAGCACAGCCTTTCGTGGCCCCATGGGGAGCTACACCTAAGGTCCAGTGCTACCGCCCGCATGCGTCTCCCCCACCCAGTACAGCGTTTCGTGGCCCCACGGGGAGCTCCACCGAAGGTCCCAGTGCTACCGTTCTCATGCGTCCCCCTCGCCCAGTAAAGCGTTGCGTGGCCTCATAGGGAGCTCCGCCAAAGGTCCTGGTGGCACCGTCCGCATGTGCCTCCCCCACCCAGTACAGCGGTTCGTGGCCCCATAGGGAGCTCCACCGAATGTCGCAGTGCAACCGCCCGCATGCGACCCCCCCCACCCAGTATAGCGCTTCGTAGCCCCATAGGGAGCTTCACCGAAGGTCCCAGTGCTACCGTCCGCATGCGTGCCCCCCCACCCCCCACCCAGTACAGCGCAGCGTCTCGTGGCCCGGGCACTGGAGAGGGCTTGGGTGGACCATCACCCATGCTAAAATCAACATTGCTTTCGGGTGCTCGGGGGTGATGAACACCCCCCTCCAGTGTGTGAGAGTTCGGAATGTACTGTCCGTTGCAATGTTTGTCCTCCTCTGCCGCATATTCAGAAAGACCACCCTAGAAGTTGTAACGCGCCTCATACCCCCAGCGGCCCATCCAGAAACTATTCCCGTGCCAATGCGTTGATCAGGAAGTGTTGGAGCATGTAGTCCAGGACTGCACCAAATATGTGTTCGCTGATTTTTCCAATGTGGGGGAGGAGGAGGGAGGAGGAGGGAGGACGGGGAGGAGGAGGAGAAGGTGGAAGAGGTGCGGGAGGAGGAGAAGGGCGAATCGAAGGAAGAGTGAGGTTGACATGGAAGGATTGGGGAATGGAGGGGCGGACGGATGGAGAAAGGAGGTATGAGCAGGGAAACGTGGATGGTTAGTGGAATTGATGACGAGGGAGGGAAGACGGGGGGAACAATGAGAAACTATTAATGGTTGGAGGGATTGATGGACGCATGAAGGAAGGATGAGGGATGGAGTGATGAGTGGGACAGGGAGGATGCAACATGAATGATGGAAGGAGGGATTGAGGGAGGAGGGATGGGAGGATGGGAGGATGGCAGGTGAACGTATGAGGGGTGCAGGATGACGGACGACTGGATGGAACAGGAAGGAGGGATGAGTAGGTAGCTGGAGGGACTGAGGCAGGGAGGGATGCGGGAGGGAGGGAGAGAAAAGGGATGGACGGGTAGCAGGATTCAGGGATAGATGGCTGAGGGATGCAGGGGCGAGTCCTCAGGAGCAAAGGAAGGATGCATGCAGGGAGGACGGGTGGAAAGATGAAGGGTGCAAGTGTGGAAGGATTCACGGGGGACGCCTCGTTAGAGGGAGGAAGTGGGATGAAGGATGGAGGATGGACGGATGGGCGAATTTGATTTCGCATTGGGAACAGAAACGCAGTATTGGTTTTTATTGTTGCGCTCTGCGGCCTTGCGTTTGTCCAGCGCAGTGGTGTTCTCAGGCGGTTTCCACAAGCGTCTCGGTGGTCGCAGTCCAGTGGTGCTCAAGCATTGTTGGGCTCAACCAGTCTTGCGTGTATGTGGTCCCAATACGTGTCACATGAAAACAACGAACACGAAATTATTCAATGATACCGCAGCGCGCTGCCCACTTAGGATGTTTACGTGCCCTTTCGGAGCCATTTGCCAGCTTGTCCGCCGATTCGGCGCAGCTCCCGTAGCGATAGGCGGGCATACTCCCCCAGCGCCTGAAGATCTACATGTTTATTGCCCCAATTCCGAAGGCGGCGCTTCCAGAGCTACCGCCGTGCCCGTGCTGCTTTGCTGTGCTCGTGGCGAGCGAGGCCTTGTAATGCACGACCAAGTAAACGTACAACATCGGCTGGTCGCAAAATATGGGCGCTGGCAACAGTCATACTTGTAGCCCATCATCATCGCCGCCATCGTCGCCGCGCTCGCCCTCAGAATTGCGGGCGTGTCAGCAAGTCCACACAGTTAGAAGGCCTGGTGCTGCGCCTGACGCGCGTGGCGCACCTGTCGCACGTGGTGCGTATCTTTCACCGGGCACGCTTCGCCCATCTGTCGCGCGCGCCTTGCGCACTTGGCGCGCCTGGCGCACTTGGTAAAACCCACGGAAATGTAGCAAGCAGCATAGTGGACTCACAGTGAACTATCAGTGAACCAACAGTGAACCATCGTGGGCCACGATTTCAATAGAACGACAAATTCTCAATACCTCTCTAAAACAATTGAGGTTCATTACGTTTTTGTTATGATGGTTTACTGTTGGTTCACTGTTGGTCCTCTGATGGTTCACCGATGGTTCACTGTAGGTTCATTGTGCGAAGCACGGAAATTGCGGGGTCTCTGGGGTCGCCTGGAAGCAAGCGCCAGGTGCTTGGGCGGACCTGGGCAGGATGCGACGATGAAGTTGATTTGTTTCGCAGCCGTCCGCTGGCATTCCACCCGCAGGAATTGCAGGGACAGAGGGGGCGTTCAGTCCTCCAGCCGGGGCCTCCTTGGGGCCGTTTTAGGCTGTGGACGTTTTTGAGGCGTCCTGGAAGGCCCTTTAGGGCGAGGTCCGCACCAGAACCACCCCCCGCCGTTCCATTCCATTCGATTCGTTGCCCTCCCACTTCCTCTATCCACCTGCTGCCCTTGTCTTCCCCACGTCTCGCCACTTCTCAATTTTTTTGTTTGCACTCCTCCGCATTTGTCTGCACTTCTCCATCCGCTGTCCCTCATTCCTCCCCGGTCTACTCCCATCCCTCGTCGTCCAGCCTGCTCCCACTCCCCCCGCTCCCCTCCAGTCAATAATACTCCCTCTGGCCTCCTCCGTTTTTGTCCCTAAGCGTTTCCACAGCTCCCTTGCTTCACTGTCGAGTTCCTACACTTGTCCCCATACCTTGCCATTTCAGTCCGCTAGTCTTCGCTTCTCGCATCCTCACATTCCTCTTCATTCCGTTCGCTCCCCCGACTCATACCCGTTCATCCCCAGTCCGATCCACCGTATTTTCCCCTTTCCTTCACGTTCCCCTCCGCTCGTCTGATGTATTCCCGCCCCCCCACTCCAATCCACCCTTCGGCCCTACTCCCCCATCGTCTCCGCACCCCCCCCAGTGCGCCGCTTTCCGTCCAGTCGTCCGCATTTGTCTATCCCGATTCCTGTGCTCTCTTCTGCACCCACCTCCATTCAACTCTTCTAGAGTTCCGCCACCTCCTCCGGCGCTCTTCCGTGCCCCTCTCCATTCCTCCTTCCGAGCATCTCCATCACAGTCCGCCCCGCTTCTCGCCGATCCTCTGTCCTCTTCCCCGCTCCCCTTCATTTACCACCATTCTTCCCCACCCCCCTACACGTCCACCTCGGCCTCCAACTTGATCCACCATTTCCACCCTCAATGCCTTCCCCTTCCACCTTCACCTCGACTTCCTACCCTGACCTATTCACCTCTTCGCCCACCCCGACTTCCCCTTCCACATCCGACTTGCCCTCGACCCCTCCCGCCCGACTTCCACCTCCACTCCCGCCCCCACCTTTTGCCCCCTGCAGCGGGACCTCCACCGAAGGCCCCAGTGCTACCGCCCGCTTGCGCCCCCCGACCCAGTGCAGCGCGTCGTGGCCCCATAGGGATCTCCACCGAAGGTACCACCGCTACCGCCCCGCAGGCATCCCCCCACCCAGTACAGCGCTTCGTGGCCCCATAGGGAGTTCCACCGAAGGCCTCAGTGGCACCGTTCACATGGGTTTCCCCCGCCCAGTACAGCGTTTTGTGGCCCCATAGGGAGCGGTCCACACGCGTTTCCCCCGCCCTTTGCAGCGTGTCGTGGCCTTCAACCAGAGGCCCCATTGGCAAAGTTCGCATGTGGCCCCCCCACTCAGTACAACGCTTCGTGACACTATAGGGAGCTCCGCCGAAGGTCCCAGTGGAGCAGTTCGCATGCGTTTCCACCACCCAGTACAGCGTGTCGTGGCCCATATGGAGCTCCACCGAAGGCCCCAGTGGCAAAATTCGCATGCGTCTCCCCCACTCAGTACAGTGTGTCGTGGCGCACAAGGAGCTCCACCAAAGACGATACTCACAACTGCAGTGCTCACAACTGCAAATGGTTTGGTCTCTCGCCAGGCTTATTTTGAGCGTCTTGTGCGAACGGAGGCTTCGGTTTCAAAGGGTGGCTCTCGCGCCGTGCACAATCGTTGAACGTTTCCACCAGTTGCACGAATGGAGGGCGTGCATGTCTAAAACCAACGGGTTGACGCGTCTTGCTTGCCTCAATGTCGGATGGCGGCTCCTCCTCAGAACGGGGCTCTTGCTCTCATGGATGGGGACGGGGCGCTCGTCCCTCAAGTGGGCGCTCTCCGCAGCGATGGGAACTCGAGGCAGGGACCTGCGCGCTCTTGCCCTGCACCTTCCCCCCCCCCCACTCTGCCCTCCCGACCCCGCCTGCGCCTCCCCTCGTCGCCCCCCCTTCGCTGGGCTTCACGGCCTGTCCAGGCCCTGCGTGGCGGCGCGCCGACTTCTAGCCGCCGTTCGAGGCGGCCTCATCCATCTCGGGGGCAGGGGTGGACTGTGGCCGATGGCGGATGGGAGGGGCCTCTCCACCGAGGGCCCGATCCCGCCTTCTGCGGGAGTCCGCACCGCTGGCCGGGCGGGGACTGCCTCCTGCGCACCTGGGCCCAGTGCCTCCCGAGGTCGTCCGGAGCATCAGCTACCTGTACCTGAACTACCTGCAGCCGCACCACAAGCGGATCCAGGCAAGGAGGAGAGGGCACGATCGCATTCCGGCCGGGACCTTTGGACGCCGTGTCGCTCCGCCGGTTCTCGCCCACCACGTTCCGGCGCCACACGCTGTCCGCTTCGCCCTGCCGAGGTGTCTACGTCCCGAGCTTTTCCAAGCTTCCCGCCCCTCGGAGCGTAGCGACACGCTGTTTGCCCGCAGGGCACGGCGTAGCGCCGGGGCCGCCGCGGCGACACGCTATGCAAACGTTCCCGACCGTATTTTCCAGGGCGTGGCGGAGCGCTCCAGAGTGGCCGCGGCGCCCAGGACGCCACCTGGGCTGGCGAGACTTCCACAGGGGCCCTCAGCTTGCACTGGATCCGATTTTCAGTAGCACCTTGCATCCTGCCCTGTATCTTGGGGTTTGGAATTGGCAACTGCAGAAACGCAGTCTGTCGGAGTTCCGCGCGGATTTCTTGGATTGGCGCTGGACCCCCCTCTCCACACCCCCTCCCCGGCGTGCGGATCGCGCCAGGGGCTTCGCCAGAGGTGCCACCTGGGGTGCCTGTGGGGTGCGTGTGGGGAGGGTGGCCCGGCACCGACCGAAGAGGTCCGCGCGGACCTGCGGCAGTTCATGATTGTTGCGTTCCCTTCTGCTGCCCCGTCTTGCGGAGGAGCATGCCCCTGACCTCCAACGTATCATTTCTGCATGTGGCCCCCAGACTTCTCGACGCCTGCCCCGAGGGTTAGTTCTCCCCCCCGGAGCGTTTCTTCCAGGGTGCTCGGGCCCGAACGCGGTGCAGGGATGTCCAAAACGACCCGGCATGGGTGCCGTCGCTCTACCCGCTCTTCATCCCTCTGCTCTCTGCTATTGGGACCTTTTGTGTTCACGCTCGCGAGTGTGGTCATGGTCACAGACCGGCCAACGCCCACACTGAAATCTTGCCGACCTTCTCCATTCGTGCTCGATGTTGTTCTGGCCACTTGTGCAAGCGCCGCCTCCGCTGCTGCTGCAATCGGTGCCCTCGCCTCCGCGCCCCTCCTCTTCGGCCAAGGCACTCGGCGCTGCCTCGGTTCCGCAGCGGGGAGGAGGAGGAGGAGGAGGAGGAGGCGGAGGAGGAGGAGGAGGAAGAGGAGGAGAAGGAGGAGGAGGAAGGAGGAGGGAAGAAGGAGGAGGGAAGAAGGAGGAGGGAGGAGGAGGAGGAGAAGGAGAAGGAGGAGGAGGAGGAGGAGGAGGAGGAGGAGAAATGAGCATTCATATTGGGAAGGTCCACGCGGATTTCTTGCATCGGCGCTGGGCCCCCACCCCTACCCCCCCGGGCTGCGCCTCCCGCGACGCCCCTGGCGCGCTCCGATCACTGGGGGAGGGGTGAGGGAAGGGGACTACAGCGCCAAAAGGAAGTCGCGCGGTCCTCCGAACGGCTGTGCGGATGCGTTTTTTTCCTGACCATCCAGTAGTGTTGGGCCCTCGTTTCGAAGAGATGGCGCCCCGCGTTCTCCTCCTTGCTCCCATCCCTGTCTCTGCCCTCCGCACTCCGCATGTCCTTGTCGTCGTCGCATCCTGCATCAGCATCAGCATCATCATCAGCACCTTGTGTCGTCGTCGTCATCATCATCCATCATCATCATCATCATCATCATCATCATCATCATCATCATCATCATCATCATCAGCATCAGCATCAGCATCATCATCATCATCATCATCATCATCATCATCATCATCATCATCATCATCATCATCATCATCATCATCATCATCATCATCAGCATCAGCATCAGCATCAGCATCAGCATCATCACCATCTTCGCCCACCCACAGGGGGGGTCGAGACCCCAAAGGGAGCTCCACCGAAGGCCTCAGTGGTGGTGCTCGCTTGCGTCTCCCCCGCCCAGTACAGCGTTTCGTGGCCCCATGGGGAGCTCCACCGAGGGCCCCAGTGGCCGTGTTCGCATGCGTCTCCACCACCCAGTACACCGCTTCGTGGCCCCAAAGGGAGCTCCAACGAAGGCCCCGTTTGCGGTGTTCGCATGCGTTTTGCCTACCTACTACAGCGTTTCGTGGCCCCATACGGAGCTCTACCGATGGCCCCAGTGGCGGTGTTCGCATGCGTCTCCCCACACCCAGTACACCGCTTCGTGGCCCCATGGGGAGCTCCACCGAGGGCCCCAGTGGCCGTGTTCGCATGCGTTCCCCTGCTCAGTACAGCGCTTCGTGGCGCCAAGGGGAGCTCCACCGAAGGCCCCAGCGGCAGTGTGCATGCGCCTCCCCCAGCCAGTACAGCGTTTCGTGGCCCCATACAGAGCTCCACCGAAGGCCCCAGTGGCGGTGTTCGCATGTTTCCCCCCTACTCAATACAGCGCTTCGTGGCCCCAGAGAGAACTCCACGAACGGCCTCAGTGTTCGTGCTCGCATGTTTTTCACCCACTCCACCGAGGGCCCCTGTGGCCGTGTTCGCATGCGTTCCCCAGCTCAGTACAGCGCTTCGTGGCGCCAAATGGAGCTCCACCGAGGGCCCCAGTGGCAGTGTTCGCATGCGCCTCCCCCAGCCAGTACAGCGCTTCGTGGCCCCATAAGAAGCTCTACCGAAAACCCCAGTGGCGGTGTTCGCATGCGTCTCCCCTCACAGTACACCGCTTCCCGGCCACATGGGGAGTTCCAACGGAGGCCCCAGTGACGGTGTTCGCATGCGTCTCCCCCACCCAGTAGAGCGTTTCGTGGCCCCATGGGGAGCTCCACCGAAGGCCCCAGTGGCGATGTTCGCATGCGTCTCGCCCGCCCAATACAGCGACTCCTGGCCCCATACGGAGCTCTACCGACGGCTCCAGTAGCCGTGTTCGCATGCGTCCCCACACCGAGTACACCGCTTCGTGGCCCCATGCGGAGCTCCGCCGAAGGCCCCAGTGGCGGTGTTCGCATGCGTCTCCCCCACCCAGAGCAGCGCTTCGTGGCCCCAGAGTGAGCTCCACCGACGGCCTCAGTGGCAGTGTTCGCATGCGTCTCCACCACCCAGTAGACCGCTTCGTGGCCCCATACAGAGCTCCACCGAAGGCCCCAGGGGCGGTGTTCGCATGCGTCTCCCGCCACCATGGGGAGCTTCACCGAAGGACCCAGTTGCGGTCATAAGGCCCCAGTGGCGGTGCTCGCATGCGCCTCCCCCGCCCACTACAACGCACTGAGGCCCCATGGGAGGCTCCACCGACGGCCTCAGTGGCGGTGTTCTGTTCGCATGCGCCTCCCCCACCCAGTACAACGCTTCGTGGCCCCACAAGGAGCTCCACCGAAGGCCCCAGTGGCGGTGTTCGCATGCGTCTCCCTCACCCAGTACAGCGCTTCGTGGCCGCATACGTAGCTCCACCGAAGGCCCCAGTAGCGGTCGTCGCATGCTTTTCCCCACCGCGTACACTGCTTCGTGGCCCCATGGGAGGTCCACCGACGGCCCCAGTGGCGGTGTTCGCATACGTCCCCCCGCCTACTACAACGCTTCGTGGCCCTATAGAAAGCGTTGCCGAGGGCCGCAGTGGTGGTGCTCACATGCGTTTCCACCACCCAGTACAGCGCTTCGTGGCCCCACATGGGGCTTCCCCGAGGGCCCCAGTGGCGTATTCGCATGCGTCTCCCCACACAGAGCCTTTGTGGCCCCATACAGAGCTTGTGGCCCCATACAGAGCTCCACCGAAGGCCCCAGAGGCGGTGTTCGCATGCGTCTCCCCCACCCAGTACAGCGTACCGTCGCCCCATAGGAGACTCCACCGAATGCCCCAGTGGCGGTGTTCTCATGCGCCTCCCCCACTCGGGCGAAAAACTGCAAGCCCATCACACGCTTCCTGGCCTTATACGGAACTCAACCGAATGTCACAACTGCCGTCATCGCACGCATCTCCCCACAGCCCGCATGCGGTACCCGCCCCATGCAGGCACACCCCTCACGCGGTTCGCCCGTCTCACGCGGTTCGCGGCCCCATCGGGAGTTCAGTTCCCCTTCGATCGTCTCGCTTGCCCTGCGGGACTCACAACGGCATATAGTTGGGCTTCGCTCTGACAATTAGGGGGGGGGCGGCGCTGGAGGTGCCGCCAGGGGGTCCACAGCCAATCCAAGAAATCCGCGCGGACCTTCCAAATCCTATGTTTGCGCAGGTTATTGTTCATCTATAGACGTCCTGGCAATGTCGGAGACATTCGCGCGGACCCTCCTAAGTTTATGTTTTTGCAGTTTTTGTCGGCGGCGCGCGCAAGGGGATGGGCGCCAGGAGGGTGGCCCTCTGAGATGGCAGCGAAGCTTCTTAGAAGGCAGGGGACTTCTGAGAAACGCCTGGAGACTTCTTAGAAGAAGCCTTCTCAGAAGCCTCTGGCCGCTTCTCAAAAGTCCCTCGCCTTCGAAGGAGTCCCGCTGCCATCTCAGAAGCCCCCCCCTGGCGCCCACCCCCTTGTGCGCGCCTGCTACCCCGCTGCAGCCCCGCTCTGCCCCGGGCGTGTCCCTCTGCAGGAGGAATATCCCAAAACAGTGAAACCAAATCTGGGACGATGCTCTGAATCTTTGTTGGGACTATTTTCGAAGATTTCCCGGGGGGTTCTTTAGCTGCCCTCCAAAGCCCGCTTGTAGGAGGCCGTGCCCGACCCAACGCCGCAGGCGCAGGGGCGCCACCTGCTCATGCTCAAGGTGTACGAGAGCAAGCACGAGGCGCGGGAGCCCGGCGGCCGTGGCGCCTCCACTCCTTCGGGGGCGGCCACGAGGGGGCTGACGACTGGGCTCGGCATCGCCCGGACGTGTGCATATTTTTTCCTCGGCGAGGACCCTCGAGGATCATCCTGGATCATCGAGCGAAACACGCACGCACGAAACCGAAAAAAAACACAGGGAATGGACGCCCGAGCGATGGCCAGTAGGGGTGTGTGTGTGGATATCATGGCGTGGGCCATGGTACTTCCCCAGATTCATTGGCTGACGCCGCACCGCCGACCCCCTTGGGGCGGCAGTGAGATACGAAATCGCCGGGTTTTGGCCTGCAGCTGGTTTTGGCCCCGCCGCCGGGCCCATTCCTCGATACATGGGCGCCTCCCGGCGCTGGGAGGCGCCGGGAAAATCAGCTGCGCGAGCTGACTTTCAAACCCCCCCTTTGCTATCCCCCCCTTTCGCCCGGCCCGACAAGAGAGGGCTGATGACTAGGGGAGGGGATATCATGGCGTGGGCCATGGTACTTCCCCAGACTCATTGGCTGACGCCGCACCGCCGACCCCTGTTTGGGGCGGCAGTGAGAGCGAAAAACGGAGGTTGCGGAACGATCTCTGGGGAATCTTGGGGGTTTCAGCTTCTTGGGATTTCGTAGGAGGCGGTTGGCGGATCGCCGCTCTGCTCTTGGGCTTCTCTGGGCTCTGCTGGTAGCACCTTTGAGGCCTCTTGGGGCCGTTTTGAGGCCTCTGGGAGCCTCTTTTTGGGCCTCTCGGGGGCCTCGTGGGAGCCTCGTGGGAGCCTCTTGGGGGCCTCTTGGCGCCTCCTCAGGTTTTTTCGGGGCCGAGTGCTCGAAATGTTCATTCGGGTTTCCCCTCTGGGCCTTTCTGGGTCGTTTTGGAAGCTTCTGGGGCCGTCTTGGGGCCCTCTTGGGCCGTCTTGGAGCCGTCTTGGGGGCCCTCTTGGGCTGTGGGTGCATCTTAAAGGTTTCTTGGGCCCCTGTGGGCCTCGTGCAAGCCCAAGAGGCGAATGTTCTAAACATGCACGTCTTCCCTGGGAGATGGGACGGTGTTTGCTTCTGGAGGGCCTCGTAGGACGCCTCTTGGTGGCTTCTTGGGGCGTCTTGGGGCCCTCTGGGACCGTCTGGGGTCTATCTTGGGCGTCTTGGAGCGATCTTTCGGCGACTCTTAGCTCTCTTGGACCGTCCGGGGGGGCCTTTGGGGGCATTCTTGGCCCGTTTTGGGGACCCCTGAGGCTCCAAGGGTGCGGCCGACACCTTTGCCCCCCCCCCTCCTCCAAACCGGCCGGACAAGGCTCCCGGGGGAGGGGCTTGGGGAGGGCGAAGCATCGCACACGCCGTGACCCCAAGGGGTCGGCGGATTTCATGGCGTCTCTTCCCATTTCATTACGTCCCTGGCCCCCCCGCTGGGCCACGCACATGCCGCCGGCCATGATTTGCGCCCCCCCCCCCTCTTGGACGCCCCCCTCTTGGCCGATCCCGAGTCATGGACCGCGCGCGCGCGTCTTCGAGACGACAAGCGCGCTCCACTACTCGCAAAGTAACTGCTCGCAAACGGCCTGGATCCACCGCGGGGGATCTACGATCCATTGCAACGAGGCGAACGTGTGTGTTTTTTTTTTCTGACGTTTGCGAGTAGGCATTGTGCGAGTAGTGGAACGCGCTTGGTGATCGAGGGCAGACCTTCGGCGGCGTCATTTGTTCAACACGGTGTTTCCGAACACTCTCGGCGGTTCTGGGAGGCTGGGAGGCGTTTTCAGAGGAGGAGAGGGTACCGATACCGCTACCCTGCTCGGGGGAGGCCCTGCTCGTCGCCACCGCCGGATTCGCTCGGAAGTTCTGGTCAGAACGCACCCTGGCAGTTGCAGATGTCTGGGGGAGTTCTCTGTGGGTGTCCCCACTCTTGCTTCGGGATGCGTCCCAGCAGTTGCGCCTCGCAATGAGGGCTCTGGGGGGGCCCAGGTCGTCTCGAACGGCCTCCGCAGACCCGAGGTATGGCCCGAAGTAAAAGGTCAGTCCACTTCGATCCGATCGATCCGATTCGATGTCGATGCTGGCCTGGTCTGTTTCCGATATACGATCCGACGTCTTGGTGTGACCCGATGCTTTCATCGTGGTGTTGTGGATCCTGGCACGGCCGATCCGATTCGATTCCGACTCCGTCGCGATGCGGCCCGACTCGACGCACGTTGCGATCCGATCCGATTTCCCGATTCGTTGATGACAGATCATGCTTTTCCCCTGGGGCTAGTTTCTAGCTTCTCCTCACGGGCTGTTACCTTGATCCGCAGAATGCATGTGTACACGCGACCTCCGTGCCTTGCCAAGGCCATCCTGGGCCCCAGGATGGTATACCTCCTGGTCCCATCCAGGGGGGCATAAATTCCAAGCCAGGGCCCAAGATTGACCTGGCAGGCACGGTGGAGGTGTATCGACGCCTGCTGCGTATTTGAAGGTCTCGGGACCCGAAGGCTGCCCCCAGAGGCAAACATTTGGAACAACAAAAACGAAACGTACGCGAGTCCTTTCGCGATGCCTGGGCACCTATTGCTGACACGAGGGTTGAGAACAACCCTAGTTTGGGAGGGGTACCCTTATGCCCTTTGTGCGGTTCTCTGGTGTATCTCAGTCCATGGCCTTTGACCCCTGGCCAAGACATTCCTGCTATTGACCCGCGCTCTTCTGGCCATGCTTCGACAACTGCATAAGCGTACACTTTCGGAGGTTCGCGCGGGTTTCTTCGATCGGCGCTGAACTCCCCTCCCTGGCTCACGAAGCGCGCCAGGAGCGGCGCCAGAGGCGCCGCAAGAGGGTCCAGCGCTGCTCCAGGACATCCGCGCGAACCTCCGACAGTTTGTGTCTATGCCTCCGTGGCGTGCTCTTCTCAAAGTGGCTCCCCAGAGGTCTGGCGGCTGGACCCCTTTGCCGGGACCGTCTTTGTGTCTCGAGTCGTTTTTGGGCGGTCCCGGGGCCCTGCGCGGGCCCCGGGAGGCCCGACCATGGGCAGAAACAGTCTGTCGCGATGTGTTGCAGCAAGGGGATCGATCAGGGGCCTCATGCTGGGATCGGCGCGGGGGGTGCTAAGGGGTAGGGGTTTTACCATTGGATGGTAAGGTGGGCTGTCTCTGGCCTAACCTAGCTTCGAAGTGGGCTGCAAGTTTTATGTGCGGATTCGGGGGTAATGATCGGGACCAAGTGGGCGCCGCCAGCTAAGCGGAGGTATTCCTTACCCCCCTAAGACGCTTGTGGCATTTGCAACAGACTCCGGACATGCCAGGTCGGGCTACATACAACCCACCTTAGCAGACAGCCCCCCACATCCCCTTGGCAACCTTCGCTGTGATCCTGCTGGGCGGCCGGCGGCTGGCTGGGCGAGAGAGCCCGGCGGCGAGGTCCACTGCTGGCACGTGCCGCTGAGGGAGGTCCGGGAGCTGCACAGACTGGCGGCCGAGGCGCTGATAGGAGGCGTGTCGCTCAACGACGTGCGGGGGGGGGGGAGGTGCGGGGGGGGGGGGCTGGCGGCGCCCACGGGGGGTCGGGCGCGAGGGCGGCGTCCTTCCCAGAACAGGGGGAGCAGACAGCTGCACAAGCGTGGTTTCTCTCGGAGGTCCGCGTGAGTCCCCCTGGCTGCGCCTCTTGCGCCGCTCTGGGCGCGCCCCGCGCGCGTCGGGAAAAGGGTCCAGCGTCTCTCCAGGAAAGCAGTGCGAAACTCCGAAAGTTTATGCTCACGCCGTCTTCTCATTATTCTACAGAAGGGGGCTGCGCGATGGAAATGGTCTTCTAAGCAGGCGGCGGGGCGGGGCTTCTAAGAACGCAGGCGGGGTTCGCAGAAGCCCGCCTGGCTTCGCAGAGGCCATCTTGGAAGACTCTGGGGGTCTTGTAAGGAGCCCCCTGCCCTCTAAGAAGCCCCTCCGCCGTCTTAGAAGGCGACCCCCCTCGCACCTGCCCTTGTGGGCGCCGCCACGATGACGTGTTCGCAGGCCCTCGGTAACACCATGCGCTGGTATGCATTCATACTTTTGGAAAGCCAGTGGAGTACCCGTTCGTGTGCTTCCCGCCCGGGTACTCCAGACGGCTTCGACGCGGTGGTGACGTCCATGCATACCGGCCGGGGAGGGCAGGGAGAGAGCTCGGAAGGGGGAAGACCCTGACGCCCTCGCGCCATGAAGCACTGCACGACGGACAGCATTCTGCTTGGGAGCGTCGGCGAAACGACTTGGGATCGGCGTCACCCCAACATACTTATACTATATGTGCGTCGCCCTCCACAGGGGCGACGCGCGCACTGAGAGATCTTACAGTATATGCGTCGTGGCGGGCACTTTCTGGCCACACCGCTCGGGAAACGATACACTACAGGATGGGCATACTGTGTGTTCGGGTCGGACGCGCGCCTCCGAGGAGGACATACAGCATCACTATGTCCCTGTGCGTATGGGATGGGAGGCCGGCCCTGGGGAAGGGGCCCCGACCTCTGGGGAGCCACGCTGCGACACGAGACGCGACGCAGGATGTCGGGGGGAGCGAGCTCAGCAGGGGGAAGAGGTGCCGATGCCGCCGCTCGTTGCAGAGGTCCCCAAGCCGCCTCGGCGGGACTCTCTTCGAGGTCCTGGTCAGAGAGCTCCGGGGAGCAGCAGTATCGGTACCCTTTGGCCCCCACCCCCCAGGAGGGGGCGCGAGGGCTCCATGGGGCGAGTGCCCTCCTCTTCCCCTCATTTCCCGCCCCCCTTCCCTCCCTCCTATTTCTCCTCCCCCCCTTCTATACCCTAGCCTACAGACCACCAGAAAAATCGAAATCAGACTCGCCGTTGTGGAATGTTTCACACGGTTCGCGCGTTTCTAAAAAATAGACTCGGTATCGTTTTCGTGTCTATTTTTATAGAAATTCAGCTCCGGCCCCAACGTGGCTTTAATTCTCTTGTCTATGTCGTGCCTATCCGTGTCTATATGCATTGGTGTCTATTCGTGTCTAACGTGTCTAATTTGAACGTGTCTAACCCTGGGAAGCAATCAGTAAACCCCCCTTCCCCCCCCCCCCCTCATCAGAGGAAATTATAACGCTTCCGGCACCGGGGCCGGGGCGGAAGCGATATCCCCCGCAGGTCACCAGAGGTCCGCGGAGGGGAGGTCCCCGGAGGTTCCCAGGAGGCATCCAGAAAGGCCTCCACAAGCCTCTGAATGCCCGGTCCCCTTGTTCCCCCGAGCCCAGCGACAAGGCACACCTGCCCAGAGTCGCTTCCTGTGATTCTGTGCGTTTCTGTGAGATTCCCCAGAGATTCCTTTGATACTCCGATTGGCTTCTTTTGAGATTCCTTGCCGTTTCCATTGTGATTATTTTGGGACTCCTTTGAGACTCCTCTGGTGTTCCTTTGATGTTATTCTGGGGGTCCCTTGAGGTTCTGGTTGTATCCCTTTGATGCCCCATTGCTTAAGGGAGCATCACATCGACATCCGGGGCCGGTGGATTATTTGATTTTCAATAAATGTGCTAACATATCGCGGGGGGGGTCGCGGAATCCGTCTGCGATATCTCTCCGTGGACTCTCCCATAGGATCCCCTGAAATAATCCATTTCCCTAGTGCGGTCGCCATAGGGATTGCTCATGTCCACGCGAGCCCGCGTTTTCCAAATTCCTTAGATTCCTTCGTGGTTCGTTTGAGCTGCCGCTGAGATGCCTTTGCGATTTCTGTTGGGCTCCTTTGAGATTGCTTTGAACTTCCATTGGTTCCTTTGATATCATGCGTGGGATTCTTTGTGATATTCTTCTGGGATTCCTTTGGGGGTCCTTTCAAGTTCCTCTGACGTTCCTTCGACAATCCCTGAAGGGAGCATCACATCGACCTCCGGCGCTTGTGGATTATTTTGTTTTCAATAAATGTGCTAACATATCGCGGGGGGGTTCGCGGAATCCGTCTGCGATATCTCTCCGTGGACTCTCTCATAGGATCCCCTGAAATAATAAATTTCCCTAGTGCGGTCGCCATAGGGATTGCTTATGTCCACGCGAGCCCGCGTTTTCCAAATTCCTTAGATTCCTTCGTGGTTCGTTTGAGCTGCCGCTGAGATCCCTTTGCAATTTCTGTTGGGTTCCTTTGAGATTACTTTGAATTTCCAATCGGGTTCGTTTTAGATTCTGCGTGGGCTTCCTTCTGAGATTCCTCTGGGATTCCTTTGGGGGGGTCCTTTCAAGTATAGCTGCTTGCGGTGATTTCGTTGCTTGTCATTTTTGATATACCTTTGATTTCCGATGCGCGTCAGTTTCCCAGTGTTCTAGCAAGGCGGGGACCCATTGGCAAGCGTTCGTGCGCATTGGTTCTTCAGGCTGTCGCCTCACGTTGCCGCCGGCTTCGGGCCGGGGGGGGGGAAATTAATTAATTGTTTTATTTTTTAATGTGCTAGCGATATCGCCGGAGGGCGCCGCCCAAAGTAATTATTTATTTTATTTTCTGTGCTAGCGATATCGCTGGGGGGGTTACTGTTTGCTTCCCAGGGTTATTCGTGTCTATTTTCCATGATTTCGACGTGTTCGCGTCTATTATTTCCGTGCCTATTTTTCAAAGTGCGTGTCTATTTTTCCCAAGAGCACCGTTTGTTCAACAAGATGTGATGGCGCCCAATTTCGAATTTCCGAAGACGGTCCAAGAGGGCCCCGAGTCGGCCAACGATCGGTCCAAGACGCCCAAGATGGCATCCAGACGGCCCAATGCGGCCTCCAAGACGCCCCAAGGCCTGCGGCAGCACTCCAAATCCAGCTATTTCACGTAAGTTTTGAAGAATTTGGGCGTTCTCGCTTCTTCGGCTTACGCTCCAAGACGGCCCACGAGGCCCCAAAGATCGCCCCAAGACGGCCCAAGAAGCCCCCAAGAGGGCCCCAAAACAGCCCAAGAGGGCCCCAAGACGGCTCCAAGAGGCGGCCCAAACGGGGCTTCCAGGAAACCCCGAGCGGCTTCCAAGAGGCCCCCTTCTCCTGCCTCCCATCCACGCCAGGACGGCGTCCTTCGCATTTCCCGCCCCCGCGTCTACCTTTCGCGCGCCCCCCTTTCTCGCACGACATGTTTCAACCGATTTCTGTCAGAGGTCGTCGAAATGCCCAGACTCTCACTGCGCACTGTTCCAAACCTTGCTCGCGGCGGCGTACGCCTCCTTGGCAAGTTCGCTCGGGTCGAGGCCCTGCGCCTTTGCGAACTTCTTGGCGCGACCGTACCACCGGCTGGCAAACGTATTGCGGTCCACTTTCGCGTCGGCGGCCGTCATATGGCATCTTTTCGGAACGCTCGTGGGGGCATATGGGGTCAGTTTTTCGGGCCTCTGGGGAACGGGGCCTCTTCGGGCGTCTTGGGGGCCTCTTGGGGGCGCGTTGGAGCCTCTTGGGGGCCTCTCGGGGGCGAGGGCTCGAAATGTCCGTTCGGGTCCACCGTTTGGGCCACCTCTCAATCCTGAGCCCTCCTATTCCTCACCGTTCCTCCGCTCCCCTCCACGCCTTCCGCACCTCCTCCACAATCCTCCCACCACCACCCTCCTGGCTCCTCACATCCTTCCCCACGTATTCGCACTCCTCCCAACTCATCTGCGTTCCTCCGAGTCCTCGCTCATCCTCACTCTCTCCGCTCTTCCGCGATCCCCGCACTCCGCCTCATTTTTCCGCTTTCTTCCGCGCTCGCTCTACCACCCCATGGTTCATCAACACCCCAGTGCACGCCGCGCGCCCCCTCCCGTTCCTGTTCACGGTTCCTCCTCCACACCCCCCTCATCTTCTCCGCGTTTTTTCCCCCAACGATTCCGCAGTCTCCGCGCTCCCCCTAGATCTCTCGTGTGATTCCAAAGCGTTTCAATGTGTGATTCTCCTCAGCTCCCCCCAATTCGCCCGTTTATCATGCTCATTGTTCCTGCATTCCTTTCAACTCCGCTGAATTCCAATCCCACCCTCCACGTTATTCCACATTCTCCCGTCCCGACTCCCCCCCCGTATGCCGTGTCTAGTTTTGCCACACCGTGTCTATTTGTTTCGGGCTCCTTTTGCGCGTATATTCGTCGCGTGACTATTCGTGTCTAGTCATGTCTATTCGTGTCTATGTATGAACCGTGTCTATTGTCGTGTCTATGTATGACGTTCGTGCTTATGTTTGATTCACTTTCGTGTCTAGTTTCAATGAATTCGTGTCTATTTCAGAGGAGTGTCTATTCGTGTCTATTTGCTTATACAAAACCATATGTTTTACATCGCGCGCAGCGCGAATTCATAGACACGACTAGAAATAGAAACTGTGCAACAGTACAACGGAAAACGAAAGCGAAACTAGACACCCCGTCTTGTAGGCTAATTCATCATCTCCTCCCTCATTACCCCCCCTCCTCCCCCTCGTTTTCCTCCTCCTCCTCCTCCTCCTCCTCTTGCGCCTGTTTCTGTTTCTCCTCCTCTTCTTCTTCCTCCTCCTTCTCCTTTTCGTAGCCAAGTCGAAACGATTGCCCCGTGGCTTCAGC